TAGACTAGATTAACACTTGCTAATTAACACTTCCAATACAGAAAACTCATTATCGTTGGTTTTATCTGTGGAAATATTTGTTGCATGTTGCAAACTATAAATTCCCACAAATTCACTAAGGCTCAGGCCCAGGCTCACTGTATTGTCACCATTTTAGAAGCTATTTGTGTGACCACTCTCTCAGCAAGATAGAATCAAGCTACAGTAAAATGCTTTTAATAAGGGAAGCACAAATTAATTTGATTTCATATTTATCTGTCTTTAAAAATAAATTTGAATTTGATATTGCAGCTTCCAGATTTTAACTGTTTCCTGAGAGAGAGAGAGAGAGAGAGAGAGAGAGAGAGAGAGAGGGTTGTGTAATTTGTGAAGCTGTGATATGTTTCAGGAGGCAGTAAACCTGGCTGGTGAGGTGCTACTTCACCTGCTGCTTTTCTGCTGTCACCATTTTTGAATCGAAACCCATATCTATGACATCATGGAAAACCTTTAATTTTTCATCATTTACACCATGCCAATAAAACACCAAGATTGTATCAATCAACAACATTAACTAAGTACTTCAAAATGCAGACAGCCTTTAACAAGCCTTTTTTCTATTTTTTTTTTTTCACAATGCAGTGAATGCCAGTGTTATAGTCTGTAACACACAGGCACAAAGAATTACATAACAGTGGTGAGATAAAATTATGCTTTGTAAAAATTCACAGAAGATCTAGAAAGTGGACCATGTTCCTACAATATCTTTTGAAATCAGTTTAAATGTTTATGTGTAGGGCTTTAGTCCTGCTGGGAGGTGAACCTCATCCCCAGCCCAAAATATATCTAGAAGAGTCTCTTACCAGGATTGCCCTGAATTTTGCAATCAACACAAACAACTTCTCTATCCCTGCTGAAGAGATAAATCCCCAGAGCATAATACTACCAACTCTTTGTGGGAGCATGAAGATGGCGTTTTCAAAGTGTATATGCTACAAAGAGTACTTCTTATATCTTTCTTTTAACAATGAATTTCTTCCCCTGATAAAACATAAATCTTTGCAGTTTGTCTATAGTTTCTTAGCAGGCTGTTAGTTTAGGCAGATAGTCATGTCTTGGTAGGTTTGCAGCTGTATGATATTGTTTCTCTTCTGCATGATGGGTAGCACAACAGCAATTAGATGATTTTTGATTTTTGCTTTTTATTTGGATGTATTGAGTTTATAGGGATGAATGCAAAACTTGGTTGTTATAACATGACAAAATAAAAAAAAAATTAAAATTAAAAAATTAAAAGGTGCAAATGCAATACAATGTACATAGGAACCCTTAGTGTAAAGCGGTGGTGCATACATCTGTTTTTATCTCTTTTTTATCTGAATTGTTAAGGTATGAACCTCAACAGCCTCATCTGCTTTTGCTAATGTAGTAATTTACAATTTATCTATAAGCGGCTTTTCATAGTAATTGTTCTTACGCCAGATTTTTGCTTCTGCAGACCAACTGGTGATAAAAAGGTGAGAAAACTTTAAATATGGAAAGGTCTGTTGCAAATACATCAGAGTCACTGCAGAGTGCATTGCAAAGCTGTTGCCTGGCCTTGGTATATTAATAAAAAAAAAAGGCCACAGAAAGATGGAATTCCCCAAATCCTGGGTATTAATCACAGTATAACACTGATTCAACCTGTTGGCAGATAAGATATTTAGGTCATGTTATCTTCTGGAAATTTGCTACAATCTAAAAAAATAAACAGGATGGTTGTGTAGATCCGATTTTAACAAATAGAGGCTTCTCTTTTAAAGATATTATGTATATTTTCCCTCTCGCTTTATATATATATATATATATATAATTTTTATTATTATATTTATTATTATTATCATTATTTAAAATGGTTGATTGGTGTATCTATTTACAGAATGCATAAAACATTATAATTTGCAACATCGAAAAGGATAATATCCCATAAAACTGTGGTTGAACTGTAAAAGGAATGAGGATTTTTAATTTTACTTTACCTTGTATGCACTTTTATTTTTCAGGGAGATTACTATGACTGAAGAAGAGAGATTGCAACCTCCTGCACAATCACAATGATTGCACTATCTATACATGTGCAAATAATCTCAATAACTTACTCTTTTTCTCTATGAAGAGGCCATTAGTGTAAGTATGTTGAAAGATGATTAACCTTGTGTGCAAACAAGCATGGCACCAGTTAATTATGCATGAGCACCCCTCCAACGTTTGAGAAATAGCAACTCTCATTTTAAATAACAAAAGCGTTTACTCTGCCCTTTAAAAGGGGGAAAAGCTCCGTCCATGACTTATCCTATCACAAGGTTATAGCCATACATTTTAAGGAGCAGCAGAAGCAGAGCTAGCTTGGTTTGCAGCCTGTCCTGTTTCTCTGTGATAGCCCATCACTGATGCCTTTTATGTGCCAGAGCTTCTAATAAGGGATTATTGTGGAGCTTCTCCACATGTTTCGCTGAGGCCCTTTAAGTCATTTCATTACAGATATTGTTTCATCAAATTTCTCTCAGTGATCCTTAATAGCCAAAATGTTAAAATGGACAAATGTTAGACTGGCTATCCAATGCAAGCAGGGGATGTATATGATGGATTATGACATACTAAGATTTTAGAAGCATACATTGTTTCAAGGGTAACTTGTTTGTTTTTAACAACAGGAAGTGCATGAATAATATTTTATTTTTAATAGAGTAAAAAATAAATAACATCATCAGGCAGAGGGTGATTATAAATATCAAGGTACAAAAGGTAAGGCACAGAAACAAAAGCTTCATGCTCCAGCTCAATGGAGCATACAGTAACACAGCAATGCCTCTTATCACATGTAGTGCAAACTGTCAGTCAGCTGACTCAGAAAGTCAGCTCCAACCAAGAGACAGTTTTAGTTGAAAGAAAATATATCTTGGCATGGAATCAAAAACTGTGACGTAGTGAAAACTGAAAGGGCTCCACGCTTCACTCTCATTTAGGTAACAGTTTCAAAACTACAGTTGGCAACTAGGAGCAGCATGTCTGTAAATCAAGTACTTCATGTAATATGCTGGTCTTCTTTATAAAGATTGCTTTTAACCTACTTGCATTAAAAACTAGATTTCACTGGATTGTTTAATAACTAGGCTTGTAATGCTACTTATCTTTTTTTAATCTGATTTGTTACGTGTGTTTAGATAACATTTGCTTAAAAATTGCCCTACTGTATATCAATTAACTAAAATGACTCGAGAATAATTAATTTTAATAAACCATATACTTCAAAACTATGACTAAAGATGTTTATATTCTTCTATTGCTTGTGTATCAAAACAACAATAAGTATTGCTGTAGATTACATTATTATACCTGCAATTATCAATGTTATACTATTTAAGAAGCTGTTTAAATTTATATTCAACCTTTCCTTTGCTAAAGATATTATACGCTATGCACTGGTTTCTTATTAGATAAATAGGTTTTCCTGGTGAAAACATTTGCTTTCACTGATAATCATCATCCCACTGGCCCTCTCATAATAATACAAAGTGCAAAACATTAAATAGTAAGTCATGTATGTTACTTTTAAATACAATAGATAAAGCTACTGTGGTGTTTTAAACAAAGACATCTTCTGTGAAATAAATATTTTCAATTAACCTCATAGAAAAAGCCAATTTTCCTTGATTCAAAATGTGTTCTGTATCCAATACTGTACAAGGTTCCTAATAATTTTTCTCTAAGCAATGATTTTGTACAACTGTTTAGAGGTGAGAAGCAGATAGATGCAGCCCTTTGATTCACTGATCCAGTATGGAGCATCAGATTATAGTTGCTCGCCCACAGCAGAGGATTTTTCCTTGGACATCAGAGTGCATACCAAGTAACCTACATGCTGAGCAGGACCACAAACAAACCAATACATAGGAACGTGGTGGTTTCTGCTTCCCACGTGCAATTATGTGTGAGTCAGCAGAAAATCCAGACCATATGGCTCAACAGTGTCTGGAGAAAGAAAAGTCTGCCTTTTAAGAAAATACACTAAGTCTCAATTGCATTTATAGTCTTAAAGGCAATATGCATAGACAGACTTGGATTACTAGAATACATCTTTTTGCTGAGTCCTTTAGATGATGACACCAACTTTTGTGAAATAAACTATGGCAATCCTTATCAAGTACAAATTTATATTAAATGCTGAAAAAATGTTTTGATGTACAAATGAGAGCTGTAATCATCTATGGAAGTCTCCACCCCTACAGTAAGGCCTGTGACTTTGACAGTAAGGACAACATGAGCCAAAACTGGCAGCAACATCAATGGAGGAACTCAGCAGGAGTGTAAAACCAGGACGATGGCTTTGTTCCCTTTTTGCAAATTTCTTTGTGTGAGAATAACAGTTACAAAATGAAATTTGTGAAGGGAGCATGTTTTTCATGGAAATAAATTACCGATGGCCCTGGAGAATTATTAGCAATTCATAAAACAGGGAAGCTATTAATGTGGCTTCTCAAGAAGGCGTGTTTCTAAAAGTCACCTTGAGAGGCCAAATTAAAGGGAAAAGTGATGCCACAAATAACTCTCAACAGGGCAGGACACATTGCCCCTATTGGCCGCATATGTAAGGGGAGATACAGGCCAAGTGGGACAATGACATAGTCCTGCTTTAAATCGTCATCCAGCTCCCACTGAACGCCCTTTCGATTAATGAGCTTGCAGAGCTGAAGGAACACGACGTTTAGAGAGAGTGCAGCTCTGCAGCACCACCAGTCCCTTCATTATCCAAGGTTTTGCCTCTATGTTCCTGTCATGCCCCGGGAATTTCTACGTTTTTTAGTCAAAAAAACAAAGTGTGCCTTTTAGTGGGACAGTGATGCATTCATGCACTATCCGATGGGCCTTGTGGCCGTAGCTCCCCCTCTGTGTTCCAGCTTATCTAGGTCATCCACGAACTGAAAGAAGTCAATTCATCATCATAGTTATTTCTACCTTCATTTCAAAAGGGGCCTTACCTTCTGCTGTCGTCTTGCCATATCAGTCGGTTGCTTTGCATTGAAGGGATATGCGATGCATCGCATGACAAAAACATACAGCTGCAGTTTCTTTTTGCGCTCTTCCTCCTCTCTGTGCAGCTTCTCCAGGTCCTCTTTCTCCTCGCTGGCTGCGGACGGGCTCGGACTGGTTGGACGGGCGCTGCTGCGGCTGCTACTGGGCGCCAGTCCACCAGAGCTCTCGCTGGTCCTGCTGGGAGAGATGCGGGACCCGGCCTGAGGTGCCATCTCTTTGCTTTCTTCCTCCACTATCCCATCAGACTCCTCTTCGCTGGACGACGGATCTAACATCTTGCTCTAGAAGGGATTCGTCTCTGCTACAACCTGCAGACAGTGACCCCGAGGAATAAAATTCCTTATTATCCCTTGCACAGATTTAAAGTAGAATTCGTCCGAAGTGGAGACAGGGATAGGCCTTAATCGTACTTGCTCGCTGAGAGATTTCAGCAGTACCAGTGGTGCTGGAGGAGGTTCAGTCTGCTCCACACTGAGCTTTCTCCGCCTGCGCCGTGCGCTCGATGCTTTCGCGTTTGCCCCGTTTTATTGGTCGATCGGTGCTGCGGATGTGAGAGGGGGAGGTGAGAAGGAAGCGGAGGGGAGGGGCAGCAGAGGAGGGGAGTTTAGTGTAGCTACAGATGAGGGAACTGGAGCTGCCTTTTCTCTTTGAAAGCGGGAGATGGCTTCTCCCTTCAAAGACTGAGGCGAGCGGGTAGCTGTCCATGGTCCTGATCGATGGAGAGGCGCAGAGAGAGCAGAAGAATGAATGACTGGTCTTTTACTGGAGATCCTCATGTCAGTCTGCGGTGGTACACCTAAGATGGCTGCCACTATGTTTTCCCATACAATGTCACTGATTGAATGCACGGACTAAAAAGGTAAACATTGTTGAAAGCATATGCAGAACGGGGGAATAACAAACGCTTACAAGATCGAAAAAGATCTCCAAATGTCCCGCTTAAGATGCCTGTTAAAGGGTGTGGTAGACTGTAGCATATTTACTTCTGTCAAAAACCAACAGTTATTTTGTTTGTCTTATATTTACCCTCAAAAGCATCCAAAGTAAAGCTGCTTACTGAAGACAAAGGATTAGAAAACTTTTACATGTCTGGTGTATTCAACTTTTATTTAAAACAATACAGCCTGCTTTACAGTAACGCTTATACATTTTTAGACTTTTAAGTCTAAAAAGAAACTTGAATGCATTTTAGTATATGTGTTATAGATTGACACACATACTCACATAATAAAATGGAAAACAAAACTTCCTCGTTTGGATATTTTTTAACAGGTGCAAGTCTGGCATACAATTTTATTCAGCTCAATAAATCAATACTTCTTACTACTAGCTTTGTGTGTAGTGTCTCCAAATGTTTTAAGGTGATGGTGGTTCTAGACCAAATGTACCAGAGGGACTAGTTTGGGGCCAATGTTTTCTTCACAGGGGCACACATAAAAAAATATGGAAGATGGATAATAGCACAATAGTTACAGATTTGATAGATAAAGTAGGTGATAGAGAGACTTTCATCTCTAGCGCTGCTGGTTGCAAATCTAGGGGATAATAACTGTGATCTTCTTTCCTGGGGTTCAGTCTTCGTACCTTGCCTTAAACATCCAAGATCAAATGAGACATCCAAAATTATATCATCATGCTAATCATGATCCGGCTAATTTGGTTCTTCAAAAAAACCTGTTGTTTATGATTAGTATGGTTGGATTGAGTTATCTGAGATAATTGCAGGTTCAAGCGTCGGTTTTAAAGGGGATATGTATCGATAGTAGAAACAATGATCAGCTACGCTTTTATACACTGCTCAGCATGGCCAAAGAACACGCTCAGTTTGTTTCCCAAGCAGAACAACAGCTGTTAATGGAAGCTTATGCTGAATTTGAGTCATTAATTTACACTGTAAACCCCCGTTGGTTCACAAAATCCCCTTCATTTGGGCCTGGTGGAGCTTTGATGGGGATGTGTGTGCAGTATATGGCATCAATCACATTAGGGAAGCCTGAAGGACACATACTATAGGACATACTTTTTGGCATGGTTTTGGTGGGATCTTAAGTGGCTTGGAAATACCACAAAAAAACAACAACATAAAAACTGCTTTAGTGCCAGGTACACTTTGCGAATAGCACAAAATAAGCACCAAATAAGCCTGTTTGTGAGCTTATTTTAATTAGATTATGGCCTCTGTCAAGAACTGCACATGTGATAAGACCTTCATTTGGACTCTGGTGCATGCTACAGTCATGGACACAATACTAAAATTCAGAGGTTTATTAAAATCTATATACTGTAGATATGCAGTTGACGTTGTATTTTCAGACCATCTTCTAGGAAGGACATTAAAGAGGAGATGCAAAGGTCAGACTTTGCAGGTAGAAGAACTCTCAATATGACGTAGTTCCGAATGAAGTCAGAGTTGTTAATGTAAGGCAAGGCAAGGCAAGACAAGTTTATTTTTATAGCACAATTCAGTATATGACCAATTTAAAGTGCTTTAATTGAGATAAACTATAAAAAATAAGGAAACTAAAAGCAGAATAAAAGTGAAAACATTTGTAAAATAAATAAAACAATTGCACCACAACCTTAAACTAATAATTAGCAGTCACTTAGCAGTTTAATTTCAACAGTCAGAGGCAGTTCTATACAAACGGTTTTTTTTACTTTGACTTAACATAACCCAGGCTTTCAGCACTTTTACAGTCTTCTGGGAGGTTTTTTTTTTCAGGTAAGTGGAGCATAAGAACTAAATGTTGCTTCTCCATATTTGGTTTTAGTTCTGGGTGCACAGAGTAGGCTGGAACTAGAAGACCTGAGTGCTCTGGGAGGTTGATACACTAACAACAAATCTGTTATGTATTGAAGTGCTGATCCATTCAGTGATTTATAGACTAGAAGGATTTTAAAGTCTATTCTCTGAGCTACAGGAAGCCAGTGTAAGGACTTCAGAACCAGGCTGATGTGTTTATCCATGGATGAAGCATCTTAAAGCTGCTATTACTAAAAAAGTTTTTTTTTAAATAAGTATGATTTAAAAGATGAGTATCAAAAACTACCTATAAGCAATACCTTTGTTCCTGTGTAATTTTGCATAATTACTCATAGTTTACTGTAAGTTCAGATCTTATTTGTTTTGGTTTATTTCTATGTATGGATCACTTGGGTTATTAGCAAAGCCTGGTTAACATTTATTGTCAAAACACCTTTATGTACTACTTTTATATGTTTAGTATGAAAACAGTGATAGGTGTGATACTTATTTTACCCACTGTATATAAAAAACATGTTTTGTGCTTAACACTTCTCCACAATTTAATTTCTGAGTGTGCTGTGCTGTCTGGTGTCAAATATGCAATATTCTTTTTTTATTCCTGAGTACTTTTCAGACTTGTTTAATAGATAATCAGATTGAATACTCAATAAGATCTATTTACTGAATAGATTATATCTTAAGGAGGCACAGTTTTTATTTCAAGTAACATAGTAAGATTACATAGGCACCACACTTTTTAGATATTTACCCGATGAAAAAAGTAAAATGTAATTATTTTCCTTGCACTGACCAAAGTAAAACACATAATCCCAGAACAGCAAACTAAAAAAAAAAAAATCAACAAAAGACTACTTTTAAAATTCAGAAATTCACAAATGATTTTTGAAAAGCAGATAAAGTCCTGAGAATAACTTACAAAATCTTTAAGGAAAAAAAATAAAACAAAACAAAAAAAACACACACAAAGAACTATCATATCAAAACCACTTTAGATCTTTGAAAATAAATGGTTCCTTTAAAGGACTACAGGTATTTGTTGGGCATTGAAAATTCTTTGTACTGTACTGCAATGGTCATTTCATTAATGTCAAAATGGAATAGTTTTGGTTTGATTCTTGCAAACACAAATTCCTCACCTTTTTTTTTAGATGTGTTATAAAAATTTGAATAAATATCTTAGAAAAAGATAAAACTCATAAAATATCATTACACTCTTGTTTCAAGAAGGTAAAAAGATTTATGAGACACTTACATCTGTTATTCTGTTAAGAATGATTTGTAAGTGCTGGCGAAAAACTGACAGTTTACTGTTAGCAGTAAAATTTAATGTTCTAGCTTGATGGCGGGTTTGGTGCTCAAAATTGGAACCTCCTTTTGAAGTGTGATTAAATTTTTTTTTCTTTTATGGTTGAGTGGAACCTCATTCTTGGTTTCACTTATCATTTAAAAGAGGAGCATAGATTTTTCTAGTTTGTTGAAATAAGCCTAAATCTTAAAATCTGTACAGGTTTGCAATATGTTATTTTAATCAAACAGAATATTTTTGGGTTTCTTGACTTGTAGGAAAGTTGAACTTCTAAGTTGAAAAGACCACCAACACCTTTGCTTAAAAAATAACAAAATAAATAAATATATCTACAGTAAATGAACTTCATTGTTTACTCTAATGCAAAATAAGCAGTGTTTATTTTTTGTTTTCTCCATCATTGCATTTCCATTTCAAAAGGTCAATTCAAGCATCATACAATGAAATACATATGATAGGATGATGAGGCTGGCGTGCTTCAACTCTGAGATCAGATTCATTCTGACAGTTAGACTGATTTAGCCACTACTCCAGATGTTCTTATTTACACAGCCTCTTCCTTTTTTTGAAGATTTTGTTCTGAAAAAGACTTATTTTCTGCACTGCAACCTGCTTAACTTGCTGTATGAAGATCAAATAAATATGAATAACAAAAAGTATGCAGAATGTTAAAGGGTATACAAATACAAGAAAAGCTTAACAATTTGTAATCTGTGGTCTTCATTTTTGATAATCTTCCATTGGTCACTGGCTTCTGTTTGATTTATTGTTTTCTTCCTATGTGTTCCACATCATTTACGGTATCTACATGAGATATAAGAGGGCATGATGGCAAAATTCTACATCAGAACCCCTTCAGAACATTCTAATAATTAGTATGACACAGTCCCCCTCCTCTTGCTTGCTTTAAGTTGACTGTGTATTTATTAGATGTCTTTATTCCTCATTTTAACAGAGATCAACAACCCCAAGTCCTTGGACTCGAAATGAATAATGACATGTGAATCCTAGAGTTTAGGAAATTTTTTTAACTGTATTCCTTCTCTTTTTTAATGGTTGCATGATTGACCAGCTGGTAGCAATTCAACTTTGAAGAAATTTTGTGGTTTCTTTCTTGAGTTTGCACTCAGTGTGTTGGTTCCTATAGGTTCTACAACTTAACCCATAAATGTTTACATTTCCACTATAAACTACTCTTACATTTAAGTGTGTGTATGTATGGTTATTTTTTGTGTGATTCTAGTTTCCTGTACAGGATCCTTGAAGCCTCTCACCCATTGACTACTGAAGCTGTCACATCAACTTGATCAAGTAAGTAAAGAAAATACCTGCATACCTCGCTTTGAAAAGAATGAAAATGAAAGAGTAAAATGTCTCTGCTGTTAATTTTCCAGCCCATTGCCACATAAACAATGC